CAAACATTAATTATATATATATATATAAGAACTTTTTATTTTTGTTATTTAATATTAGAGTTTAGCATGTATATATAGAAAATTTTTGTTGATTGTTATTGTAAAATTATTATTAGTATTCTTATTTATATATTTATTAATCTTATTTTAATTTCGGATTTTTTATCTCATATTTAGGCTAGCTGCTTGCCAGCACACTTGTTGAATCCTGTTAGTGGTTCCACAGTACTGGATATGTGTGCGGCACCTGGCATGAAGGCTACTCATATAGCAGCAAAACTACAGAATAATGGGTATGTAATTTGTATATGTTGTGTGTCTATATAGAATTTGTTATATGAGATTATACATCAAGAATAAAACTAAATCTCTGTTATTTTTAAATACCATGAAACAAATAACAAATTCTAATTTTTTACTTAATTTTAAGTGAATTTGTTCACATAATTTTGACGTCTAATTACCGATCTTCAATAGCAAAAATTAAAAAAATGTAAAATAAAAGATATTGTAAAGATAATAAAAAGATATTCAGAATTTTGAATATATAACATAAAATATGAGAAATTTGAAAATAATTCATAAAAAAGGTTTTATTAAATAATTAATTTTATATCTTTTATATCAATTATGTTTTATTAATATCACATACTTACATACTTTTTTTTTAATGTTTAAATTTTTGGAGAGAGAAAGATAGATGTTTATAAAAACTCTTTTCAGGGAGGTTTATGCTGTGGAAATCGATGTTAAGAGATTTGAAACCTTATTCAGGCAGATAAGGACAACTCATTCCTTCTGTGTGAAACCTCTTAATCAAGATGTTTTAACTCTCGATCCGAAACAGTATTCACATGTGGAATATATCCTGGTCGATCCAAGTTGTTCTGGATCAGGTAAAACTTCTTTATGTTTAATCTTTTAAATTATCAATAAAAAAAATAATAAAGAATTTAAAAGCAGTCGATTATTTTTAATTAATAGAATTAATTCTGATTAATGAAAAAGACATCTATTACAGATATTATAATCATTTGGACATATTTTGTTTAATGCTTAAAGTATAACGCTATAAATAAATGAAAATTTTCATTTATGTGGAATGATTTTTATCACAGGTATTGTGGACAGACCAGAACAAAGCAATATAAACAACAAGTCTTTGTCAAAGCGCCTGCAAAATCTACAATCGTTTCAAGCTTACCTTCTTAGATACGCGCTCCTTAATTTTCCGAATGCAAAAAGAATAATCTATAGCACCTGTTCTCTTTATCCTGAAGAGAATGAAGAAGTGATAGACGAAGTTCTCGCTGATATTGGCAATGCTTATTGCCTGGTACCAGCTCAACAGTTGCTGAAAAATAATTGGATAAATTTTAGTTCCAAAAGATACAATTGCGGGGATAAATGTTTGTATTCGAAGCCAAATCTTGATTTTTGCAACGGTTTTTTTGTGGCAGTATTTGAAAGAAACTTCGACGTGGCTTTGCCAGAATGCAAACGCAAAGGAGGTAATGTAAATTCTACTATAGCTAACTTAGATATAAAAAAAATTGATATGGTGAAGAAAGTTGAATGCACGCAAAAACAGCGTGAAAAAGGAATAAAGAAGAGGAAAGGAGAAATCTCAACGAATGATGGACAAGTGAAGATATCAAGGAATGTTGTTGAATTTGTCGTATCACAAGTAGAAAACAAAATAGAAAATGAAATAAAGACAAAAAGAAATAAAAAAGACATAGGAAAAATTGATAATTGTTCTTTATCAAATTTTAATCAGGAAGAAATAATATTGAATAGGCCAGAAAACATTCAGATAAAGATATCAGAAGATATGAAGCAAAAAAAATCAGGCAAGAAGAGAAAATCGAAGAAAGAGAAGATCATATGTGATAAATAGAAGAGCAAAACTTACACGCGGAGAAGTACAGGTAAAAAAAAAAAATAGATTTTACAAGCAGAAAATTTTAGGCTAATGGACTTGTGTGCTTTATTATGAACGCGCGTCACAATCGATAATTCTAGGGAAAGCCGCAATCTCGTTTTTTCTGAGAGAGAAAATCTGAACACACATTTATTATGAAACTATTTATTAAGACTCGTTATTCTTCGCTATAATCATAATATGATGTCAAGAGCGAAAAATTATTCCAATTTTTTTTTCTTACATTATACATTAAAATAGATTAATTTTTTTGCATGTTTCATAACTCGTATTTGATAAAATAGATTTATGAATTTGCAAGATTCTATGTTATAGATTCGTGAATTAATAGATAGTTTTACAACTTGATAAGTTATAATAAGATATGTTTTTGTTAAAAAACTGGCAGATATGTATAAATTAGATTATATATTTATTTATTAATTAAGTAAATTAAAAAAAAAAGAAAAGAAATACACACCAATAAGACAATTTTACGAAAAACACGTGATAGATAGACACCAATTTCAGTGAGCTTCCGATAATTCCGCAGATGCGATGCGGAAATATTCGGTTTTCGTGATAAAAACCATTGAATTCTATAACATATACTGAAGTGAACTTTCAAGAGTAGAGAAATGACCCAGCTTAGATTCCGTCTCTGAGTTTATACCATTGAACACGAGTAATATAGCATACAAAGAAATTGATTTATTTCGACGTGCATGTATAGCAGTGCTATAATAGCACACGAAAAAATTTATACAATTTTTCACTTTTAATATTTGTCATAATTCAATACAATTACTTAAAAGAATCAATAATTTTAAATAAACAATTACCAAGCAAATTTTTATTATTTTTATTATTTTTCATATCAAATATTAAAGTTGCTTCCTCTCAAAACGATTTTTCTCGAATTAGCATACACGATATCTGAAAAACAAATCAACCGAGACCAGCGGATTGCGTATTATGTCCTGCTTTGCTATATTAGGAAAAAAAAGAACATGTCTAAGTTGTGTTAGGCCATGTATATGGTCCTGGCATATATATTCCATACTTATTACGTTATACTTGCTTGTAATATAAGTACTCGCTTTATCGGCAATCGGCGACACGGCGACACGGAAGCTTGTTGACCTCCTTAAAGTCAACTGATAAGCATATTGATTACATCAAGGTGTATATATAATTGCGGGGTGGAATGGTTTTTCTGGTAAAATATATAGACATATAGAATGAGATATAATTATGCGATAATTATATGATTCAAATTTCCAATTTATATGTAATTTATTGGTCTGTTATAAAGTATATTATTTAAATTGGTAAAATCACGTTTATATATAAGTCGTAACATACACATAAAATGTCGAAAAATATTGTTTATTAGAGAATGGTATGACTTAAAATATATACTACTGTATAGCATAGTTATAATCTAATGTGTATACACACAAGAGGCTTCTCTTTGGGTGGGGTGACGAAAGAAGAAAGGAAAAAAACTAAAACTATCATATTAGAACTAGAGTGTGCAACAAAATTGTTTCTTTATATTTTTAGATTAGAAACAAAAAATATCAAAGGACGTGAATTAGTTGTCAAACGTCACGCACAACCCTGTCGTTCGACCGGTTGCCTATCTAGTAGGCGGTCGCGTAGCTCTTTAAGGATACGGGTTTCAGGGTTTCTTAATACAAAATTGATTCTCTTGGTAAGACCTACCATCTCCTGAAGTTCATCTCATAGGTCCTGAAACACCCTGTGTGTGTGGGG